CTGCCAACTGCCAGGACTTTAAACTCAGGGTGTCAGTGCACACACTTGAAAGGATCAGACTGCAGACACGTGCAAGAAGCAGAAAAGGGATTTTGTATTGGACCAAACGCCCCTGGTCCAGGCAGCAGGCTGAGGCTGCCTATGAGAGGTCACCATGGCTTGGCTGGGTGTGGACCTCAGGTCTAACGTGCCTTGTGACCACCTTCCCTTCCCTGCCACCTCAGGGCAGAGAAGAGGCTGGGCTGTGGTGCTTGGCAGGAGCGTATGGCCAGCGCTGCAGAGGGAGGGAAAGGCTGATCAGGATGCTCAGTGGTGTGGGGTAGCTCCTTCCCAGCTCAGCTGCTCATAAGAATGGGTGCCCACCTCCAGCCACTGAAAACCGTGGACCAGAGGGGAAGCTGCTCTCCTTCTCCTGGACAGACCCAGGGTAGGTGTGGTAGATGAGTCAGGGGATGTGGCTAGGGACCTCCCTTGACATATCCTCCCCTTACCTTCTGTTCAAAGCTGTCTGGGGTCAGGAAGAAGCTGTGCAGGGGCACAAAGTAGCCCTCCAGGAGCCCCATGAGCAGCACCAGGTACACACCATCTGCAAACTGGAGGGAAAGCCAGGTGAAGGCACTGGGCTCCTGAGCTTCCTAGCCCCACTAGCTTCCCTGTTGCCCCCTCCCCCAACAGAACAAAAAGCTCCCTGCCCAGGCAGCTGATGGTGGGGGATGGGGGACTGTGGCCCAAGGCAGGGAGGTTTGCTCTGCAACAAGCTGCCCCAGGTCTAGCTGGCCTCGCACAGGAGCCTCAAGTCCACAGTCCTGATCTCAGCTGATCTAGCATTTATTGAGCACTGACTGTGTTCCAAGCCCTGACTGTGTACCAAGTCACTGGGACTACAGAAATGGGCCAGGTGTGGCTCCTGCCCTCAAAAAGCTCACAGTCCAGTGCAGAGACTGCTGTGGAGGCAATGTGGTAATTGCTCCGATGGAAGGAAGTGCCTTGACCTGAGTGAGATTGACAAAGATCACCCCGCTCTTATGGGGCCATCGGGGAAGGCTTCTGCAGGAGCCACTGCCTGAATGAAGACCTGAGGGATGAGACCAGAGGGAGGAGGGAAAGATGTCCAAGGCAAATGGCATGAGGCTAGCGGAGGTGACTTTTGCTTTCTGAACAGAGAAGAAGAACTCTAGAGTCATATAGGCCTGGGCATTCTCCTTTCTCACATTTCACTTCATTAACACTTGAGTAGAAGGTAGCTGTTACAAGTGTGGGCTCTGGAACCAGGCCTCCTGAGTTCAAATTTACCTACTAGCTATGTGACTTGGGCAAGTTACATAACTTCTCTGTGCCTTCTTTTTTCTCATCTGTAAAATGGAACTGATGATAGTATCGTATCACTTCACAGCATTACCATGAGGGGTGAACCAGTTAGTATGTGTAAAGTGCCTAGAACACTGCTTGGCATGTAGGAAGCACTTAATAAATATTAACAATTGCTATTACTATCTAGGAAAACAACAAAGTACTCAGGACACAACTTACTGGCTCTTGCTGGCAAGGGAGAACTGTACACCGAGGGCCATGGCCAAAGCTTAGAGTCCAGCCCCTTCCATGAAGGAGCGCAGAGTCCAGACAGGTTGGGAAACCTGGTCCAGTATGCTGACAGGGACTGTAGCTTCCTAGGCTAAGTGCAGAGGACTGTAGGTCTTCCACTCAAGGAAAAGCAAGATTAGTGTGGAGGCAGTGGGGGCCTAAGGGAGGACTGAGGTTTGGAAGGAGCAGGCTCTTCAGGCTATGGAGGATGACTTGAGCAAAGGTATAGCGGTCGGATGCATATCCAGTATTCCAGAACCCTTTCAAGGGAGACTGAGCCACCAAATGCTTATGATCACAAACAACAGGTGCTAGAGTTTGCAGAGGCCCAATTTCTTGGAATCATCTTAGAAAGCTTAAAACAACTAGACTGAATAGGGGAATTGACTGGAGGGTATGCTGGGCCCAGAGTCTACTCAGACAGCCTTTCTAGGTGATTGGCTGGTGGGCCTGTGGCTCAGTCTTCATAATAGGGATAAGATTCTGAGGACGGGCCTGATCTAGGAGGGCCTGGGAGTGGCTTCCTCCCTGCTTTCTGTCCACCATTCCTTCAACTTTGGACCTAAGCATGAGTCATCCCAGGCTGCCCTAGGGTGGACAATGGGAGAGCAGACCCTAGCATCTGTGTCAAAATCAAGTTCCTCCCAGTGGGAGCTACCTAACTGGGCCTCATTCTTGCTATGACTGGATTGGGTTGGGAATAACAGAATGTAATTTTTCAACTCAGGGGAGGACTTTGGGTTAAGTTAAGTGCTATTCACAGCTCCGAGTGCCACTAAGTTAGACTGCTCCCTCCTCCCCATCCCTAACTGCTAGTGTTAGCGACTTGGTGGTACCACCAGTAAACCAGTTGCCATTGAGTAGATCCTGACTCATGGCGACCCCATGTATGTCAGAGTACCACTGTGCTCCATAGGGTTTTCAGTGGCTGATTATTTGGAAACAAATCACTAGGCCTTTCTTCTGAGGTGCCTCTTGGTTAGCAGATGAGTGCATTAACCATTTGCACCAGCCAATGACTCAGTCTTGATGATATAGTGGGTAACACCCACAGACAGACACCAGAAGTGCTCAGCAGTGACTCCCTTTGTTAGCACTCCCTGCCCCATGAAAACCAAGGTGAAAGTTCCAGAGCCCACTGGAGGAAAGATCGCTTCTCCATAGCATTCCCTATTTCCCAAAAGAGTATATGAAGCTCATTCCAGAGTCCACACACACTGGGTTAGAACTTGGCAGCAGACCCAGGGAGTACCCAAGTGCTTGAAAGAAAGCCACATCTTAGAAAGTCATCAAGAATGAAAGGGTGTTGTGATACAAGACGAATTACGCAGTCTCAAAGTATCTCCCCAAAGATTAGTTATTAATTATAAAGGGGGAAAAAGGACTTTACAGTGGGAAAATCACAGTTAACATCACCAGTAATGGGACTAATGGACAAAAGTGCCTCAAACGTCATGCCTTAGAAGAACAGAGCATAAGCTTACGTTGTATTCCTACTGAAAATGCATAACCTGAATCTAATCAGGAGGGAAGACATTAGGGGACATTCTATAAAACAAATGGCCTGCACTCTTCAAAAATGTCAACGTGACATAAAGAAAGGCTAAGGAATTATTCTATATTAAAACGAGACTAAAGAGACATGACAACTAAATACAAAGAGTATATGGATGTTCACTGTGACATTCTTGCAAATTTTCAAAACATAAAGTTGGAAAAAAATTCACAGAGAAATTCCATCTGGTTCCCACCCCAGGGGAAAGCTTCACGGTCAGTGTGGAAGACCCTTCCTGTGATGTGCGGCGGGACACTTCATACAGTGGCTGTCACATGGCCCTGCCCCCCATCCTGTGCTTGGGGCTGCCACCCACCTGGGTTTCCAGTTCTGTGACTTCCAGGTTCAGTTTATTCAGGTGCTTGTTCACAAATGTGATGAGTGTCTACAAGAGAAGCACAGCCAGGCATTTGAGACGGAGGGTCACCAGGCCATACCCTGAAGGCCACTTCTGTGACTCCACCATGGAGACACAAATCAGTGTGAACACACAGGACAAGGAGCCAGGAGCACGGCCAGGGGTCCCTATGCAGAGCTGAGTGCAGATCAGCAGCCTAGGAGGCTGTTCCTGCAGAGCCCCCATGGGTACAGCAGGGGTTGGAGGGGCTGGCTCAGCTTTGCAGTCCCACACTCTGTGGATTCCAATTGGCAGTTTCAGGATGGTGAAAGGAGCAACATTTCACCAAAAGTCGTAAGAGGAAGAATGTCAGGGAGAGTGTCTGAGCCTAGGGTCAGGGAGAGCCTAAGGGAAATTAAGAAGGGGCCAAAGGAGAAATTAACCCACTGGGTCCATCCTTGTTAGATGCAGGACCCTGTGCCCAGGGAGACAGAGAGAGATCTGAGTGAGGAGGCAGGCAAGGCTGGTGTTTGGTGCAGGTGGGAAGTTAAGAGTGCTCACGGCCTCAAAACTTTCGAGCGAGCTATCATCCCGATGGGAGAAGAAAGAGACAGGATAAAGTACCAGTGAGAAGACGACAGGTAAAATGACGTCAAGGGGGAAAGCCCTGCATTTGCAGAGATTTGATGGTTACACCATTTCAGCAGGAAGCTTGCTGGCTGCAGGGATGGGTTTTCATAATGTTTTGGCTGCATCTCCCTGCCCTGGTTCCCTCCCAGGTACCTCCTTCCCACCTTTTTCACCACATTGAGTTTGTCTGGTGCATGGTCGAACAACGTGTCGAAGGCATCGCGTTCTGGAAAAGAGGAAAACATAAAGTGGGGCAGGAAGACACCTCCTGGGAAATCTACCCCCAGTCTGGCCACATGAGCCTTTAAAGGCCACATGGTCAGCTACAGATAGGAACTCTTTGGGGTGTGAGACGTTGCTTGCAACTCTGGAATCTGGGTTTGGGGCTGAGATGTGGGGGTCTTTCTCCATGTGTGCACTCCCATGTTGGAAACACGTCGACCTTCTATTGAAGGGAAGGGGCTCTATCAGGCAGTCTGACCTGGGATTGGCCATTTCTCTTCACTACTTATGTTCCATTATATCATGACTCAAGGAGTCCTGGTGACGGGATAATTAAGCATTTGGCTGCTAACCAAAAGGTCAGCAGTTTGAACCCACCAGCCGCTCTGTGGGTGAAAAGAACTGTGATCTGCTCTCATAAAGATTTCAGTGTAGGAGATCCTATGGGGCAATTCTACTCTGTCATATAGGGTCGCTATGAGTTGGAATCGGCGTGACAGCACACAACAACAACATAACCTTATCGTGACTCAGTCACGATTCTAAAATGTTTCTGAAGCGTTTTTGAGATAGAATGCTAACTAAATATCCAATCATTTCACCCCCCCTAATTTTCAAAAACAAGACACTCAAGACAAACATCATGGTGGAGTGCACAGATAAAAGGACCGAGAGTCAGGGAGCCCCAGGGTAGAATATGAGCTCCTACTCTGGGTGACCTAGGTCACTTCAACTCTTTGAGCCTCAGTTTCTTCTTCTCCAAACTATCATCTGAAAAATGAAGCTCCCCCTAGGTTGTCATGAGGGTGAAAGGCAAGAATGTATGTGAACGTGCTCTGTAAACTCTACTGATGTGGATTGTTATTAGCATAACTGAAATACTTACACACATTACCCATAGTAAAAACCAGGATCACAGAAAGTACCAGAGGCCTGTGACCCCTTCAGGGATTTTCCTTGCTCAGCTTCATGTTTCCCAATTGAGAGGTGAAATTGTGGAGGGAGGAAGGGAACGAGAGAAGAGTCTCCAAGACAAATCTGGGTTAGAAGGGTTCATGACTGCAAGGTCTGTCTTTTCCTACTCTTGCACAGATGGATGGGTAACTTTGAGACTGCCAGAAAGGTGACTGTGATCTCTGACATTCACAGACTTAGAAACAAATCCAAAGAATGCTGGGAAATGGGAGAGGTAGGAGCTGTGGGATGGAAGAGGGAGAAGACAGCCTGTAGAAGGGCTGGGCAGAGCAGGGAGAGGGGACAGTCCCTGACTGTGCTCATATACCACTTCCTTCACTCCCACAATATGCTTGGAGCAAAACTGCCCCGTAAATGCCCAGGCCCATGCAGAAGCCCAGCAAAACCACTGACCACTTCCAACAGGACTGTGTCAATGTGGGTCGTTTTCCTCTTCCCACCAATAAGCTGTCCCTCCCTCCCCAACTGGTCCTGTCACAGGCTGGTGCAGACACATGCCCAGGCAGCAAGCTTGAGTGCCTGTTCTTCTCAGCGGCCACAGAACAGCTGCTGCAGAATTAACCAGAGCCCCATTGCAGCCACCAACACTGGAGGACAATCTTAGGCAACTCACCATGCCTCCCGGAAAGAGCCCTGGAGGGAAAAGAAAAAGAAAACAGTGTGATTCTTCTCTCCTTGGGCAGTCCTCTGAGAAAACCTCCCATCACTGCTGGAAGCCCACTCCCACCCTGGCTGCCTGGCGCCAGCTTGCCACCTGCCTGCCCTTGGTTGAAGAACTCAAAAACCCTTCTTCCTTGGGAATTGTAATCTGTGCCAAGTTCTCTAATTATTCAGTCTTCATCATATTACTACCTATTTTTCTTCCCTCTGTTATACAGATATACTGGTGTCAGTGCAAAGCCTGGTGTAATGATGCTTAAACGACTATTTCTTGTCTTAAATAAAATCACATTATTGCTTGCAGTTAAGAAAGAATATGGGACTCAGGGGCTCAATATTGCCAAACAAATTTTTGGAGCAGCGTTTGCTCAAGCAAACTCCTGTATGTGGAATTCTACTGCCCAGGTTGCTGTGGGTATCCGCTTGGGGAGGTCAGCTTTGTCTCTTGTCCATCCATCCTGTAATGCCCACCAAACAGCAACTGCCATTGACCCAAAGAGGCAGGAACTGTAACTGCACTTGCAGTAGAGAAGCAGCACAGTATTCAGAGCATAAGCACTGGAGACAGACCACTTAGGTTTTAAATCCCACTGAGCCATTTGCTAGCTGTGCGACCTTGGACAAGTTACTTAACCTCTCTGCGCCACAGGTCTCTTACCTCTAAAATGAGGATAACTGTAAACACCTCAGTGGGATGCTGTGAGCACTAAATGATTTAATATGTAGAAAGATTTTAGCATAATACCTAGTATATAGTAAATGCTCAATACATTTTTTTTCCTCAGTACATGTCTGGTTCTTTATTATGATTCTTATTAGTTTATTCCAACTATACACCTTTCACCCACCAAATGATCACCTGGGGGTAGTGTATTGGAAAGAACAATTGACTTGGTGTTAACTGTTGGATGAATCTATGATACAGTCTTCTTCATCACCTTTAGATTTTGGTGTTTTAGGGAATTTAATTATTGCCCTATGTGTTTATTATGATCAATGAGATACAAAAGCACTTCATGAATTGTATTTTGCTTTCATTATTAGGAGATTCCATGTCTACGTCTGTGTGGTAGAGATGGCAGAGACAGAAGAACAACAGAAGCCATAACATGAAGCTGAGAGAGTGTTCTGGAATCTGAAACTTTACACTGCCTGATTCAGGAGTTTCTCATGGGCCATGCTCCTGTCACGTATGTCTTCTTCTTTTCCAGAAGGTGAAATAGGCCAGTCAAGTCCAGCAAGGGGTGGGGCGGGTAGGGAGCAGGACAGTGAGGAATTCTCCTCCTTTCCCAGCAGGCCTTCCCAGGGCACCTTTCCTCCTGCTTCTCATGGAACCAAGGCCAAGAATCGGTGTTGCTCTATCCGTCAGCTGGCCCCTCCACTGCCAAGACCGGCCGCTGGAGTGACGTGGAGCCTGCCTGATGAGGTCTACGTACACTGGGGTTCTCGGGAAGGGCCAACCCTCATCTCTGCTCCTCCCCCGCAGCCTGAAATGCCCACACCCCAAGGCCTTTTCTAAAGCACAGTACACAATGTAGTCTAGACAGGCAGCATTACTGGGAGGAGGGAGGAGGGAGTTTCCTAGAGATTGGGCAAGGCTTAGAAGATGTGGGTCAGCTGCTGTGATGGGGAAAACCAGGAAAGGCAGCAATAAAGGGCAGGTGAATGGAAGGAATAGCTGCTACTACATGGAATTCTCACCACCTCTCTGCAGGGTAGAAAAATACTCTCTACTTCAAAGACGAAGAAACCAAGGTCAGAGAGGTTAAGGGATTTACCTAGTAAGCGGGAAAGCCTGAATTTGAACTCAAAATGGGCAGACTTAGAGGCCCCTGCTCTTTCCACAGTGCTGCTGTTATTCAACGGGAACACAGATAACTGGTGGAGGAGCAGGGGTTGCTGAAAACTAACTGCCCGGCTTTCCGTGTGCCAGGGCGCAGGCCTGCCCAGCGACCTCAGACTCCCATACATCAACCTGCTCTTTCTGCTTAAGAACAAAACTCCTCTTTGCCATGGCAAACCTCTTCTACGTTCTGATACTGCAATTTCTTAAAGCACAGGAAAAAGAGAGGGGAAAACAAACAAACAAAAAATGCTAGGGTGGAGAGGGGCCTCTGGGTCATGGCACATGATCAAATAAAAGAGATTCAGAAAAGGAAGAAAACCGTCCTTTGGAAGATTAACAATTTAAATTCAACCCCAAGTTTATAGCATGATGATTTCATGCTGGTTGGCTTTTTTGGGCGCATTTTTTCCTGGAGTGCCATAAAATTAGAATTTTTCAATCACTGTTAATTCCCTCTCCCCACTTCCCCACCCAAGTTTGTACCTTAAGCATTGAGAGGCATGTTTTGAACGCATGGAAAAGGCTAAACCATAATCATTGGCTGAAGTCTAATCCCTCCTGCAATCCCAATAAATGAAAACTAAATATCAGCAAATGGATGAATTTCAGAGAAACATCTGTGTTCCATTACAGAATCGCTGGCAACAATGGTGTTGACATACTCTGTGTTACCAGTTATTTCCTCTTGGATTTGCCGAGACTGGAGGATTCCTTCTCGTTTCTGAAATGGGGGTGGGGAGAGGGGTTGGGAGAAGAAGAGAAAAATATGCTTTAGAAAAATACCGAAAAACTGATTCACATTTCTGATACTGAGAAAGTTAGTGGCGTTTGAGAAATGAACTCAGACGAGATAATGCTAGAAATGAAACGAGGCCCCTGATTTCCTGTTACTGGACTGTACCATTCGTACTTAAAGTGCAATTAGTGCTTAGTCCAAACAAGTAGGCTGTTTCTTGGATGGTGAATCTTTTCTTTCTTTATTGGAAGACATTCTGCTGGAAGCAAACTGTTTGCCTCCCAGAGTAATCCACAGTAAACCAAATGGAAATGAAGGCTAGGGTGTGTCTGCCCTCCAGCTGGGGCCACAGAGGGAAGCTGGGAGAAACATTTAACGGTAGGGTTGGGGTAGAGGAACTGAGGCCAATTTAGAGAATTCAGACAGCGGTAGAGTTTCTTTCTTTCTTTTTAACTGATAAAATGGGAGTTTTTAAGTAAGTGGTACAGTCCTCAGCAACTAGCTTCTTCTCTTAGATTAAGCACTTTGGAGGCCCATCTGTCTATCCACTCATCCATCCATCCATCCACCCATCCATCCATTCACCTGTCATCCATCACTCCTCTCATCGATTAATCCTCTTTCGTCTTTACTTCATTAATCAGTGCTTTACTTCATTAACAAGGCCCTGTGCTGGAGTTAGAGCAAATAACGTGGAGTTTAAGACATGGTTTCTGGCCTCGAGGAAGTTAAGAGTAAAATGGACGCGGTGTGATGGATCACTTTTGTGTGGCCTTTCTAGCCATGGTCTTGTAACTCCCACTCAGGTGATTGGGCGGGACTGTGCAGATATGGTAATTATGGTCCACTAAAGGAATTGGTCAGTTTTGCCATCCTGCTGGGCTTGAGATGAGCCATTCCACAGGCAGGAGAGAGAGGATCCCACCGCCACCACGGAAGGACAGCCAGGAGCAGAGAGCATGTCCTTTGAACCTGGGATCCCTGTGCCGAGAAGCTCCTGGAACCAGGAGACGGAGAGAGAGAGATGTAACCCTGAAGATGGCAAGAAGCGGTGGCAGGAGAAACCGGCAGGAAACGTGCAGTGGGCTTCCCTGCCCGTGGATCGAGAACGCTGAGTGCCTGGGGTGCCTCTGGGAACTTATTAAACCCGTTGCTGTCGAGTCGATTTCGACTCATAGCAACCCTATAGGACATAGTAGAACTGTCCCATAGGGTTTCCAAGGAGCAGCTGGTAGATTTGAACTGCCAACCTTTTGGTTGGCTCTTAACCACTGTGCCACGAGGGCTAAAAGAGCTTTGTAACACTTGCCTGAGCAGGGCAGAGGCGAGGGCCAAGAGAGGCGTGCCTGCAAGCATAGCAGGGAAGAGGCTGTCCTGATAGAAGAACACTATCCTGAACCTGAATTGTAACCTGTTATTTCCCTAATAAACCCCATAATCTTGAGTATTATCTGTGAGTGCTGTGTGGCCATTGCAATGAATTGTTGAACCCAGCAGAGAAGTAGAGAGTGCGGGAGTAGGGACGGTTGGTATCAGAATTGGTAAAGATAGCAGTTAGAGGAGGTCAAACCCTGGCCCTCACACCATTTTTACAATGGGTGAGATGAAGCAGGCACGTGTGAGAATGGTTTTCCCAAAAATTGTCCTTGTTTATTCCTATTATCCCAGCTTAATTATTAATAGGACCCCAATTCCACTCTCCAAGTGTCGTGGGTGATAAGTTCTGTGGTCACTCTATGCAGAGAAGCAGTGCTAAATGCAAGAACATTGCAAGCTCCTCCAGCTGGGATGGTCAGGAAAACCTTCCAAGAGGAAGAGGTCCATGAGGTGGTTCTAGGATTTCACAAGACACAGAGGAGAGGCCATCCCAGGTAGGAGGCATGGCCCGAGCCAAAATGCAGAATCAGGACAGAACAAATGTGTTCAGGAGGCTGTTTGGTGAAAGCAGAGTGTCTGGAGGAACTAGTGGGTGATCAGACCGGGAGGGTAGCTGGCTTTAGTCAATGAGGAGCTCTAAACGCCAATCTGAAGAGTGTGAATTTCATCGTGTGGGCATGAAGGTTTTTGAATAGGGGAATATAAGGGTTCGGAAAGACTTTCTGATGGGGGTGAAGGGAGAGATTCATTCCATCAGGTTCCTACGCAGCCATTTACCAGACACTGGCAGGAAGGTCTGGGTAAGCAGCTGCCACAGTGAATTCATCTTCCACAGAGGCTGAGGTTGAGTATCAAGGAGCCTCCGAGAGGTGGTGGCTCAGCTGAATCCCTCCTCCTCTAGCCTCCTGCTGCAACTTCCCAAAACTTCCCTTCACATCCCCAATAGCCACTGAAAATACTGTACTTGCCAGATACTTTTACAGAAGGAAACGTAGTGCTGGATAAAGGCCAAGAGTATATCTGGAGTAGATGAAGAAGAATGGATTAACAAAGCAAAAAAAAAAGAAGAAAAAAAAAAAGATCATTTGAAAGGGTCTAGGTGAGGGTGAATCAAGACTTTTTCCAAATCTGGTTTCATGTATATAAAGTTTTCACATGAGGCACATGGAATCTGTGTCCTTGTCTTGTGAGGCCACTCATGGACATAAAACCTCAATCTTAAACTTCATGCAGAATTAAATGCCTTTATACAGAATGGAGATGAAATCTGGATTAAATAGCCCCTCACACAGCATCCTGATTCACCCCCATCCATTACTTGTTCCCTAAAGAGTTTTCTCTGTAGTTGGGTCAGTGACTCACGGCCAAATTCTCAGAGTCCTGCTTCTGTGCCTGTTAAACTTGATAAAGCAAAACACCCCATAAAACCTGACATGTACTAATGCCATTTTATGGAATGTGTCCTCTTTTCTCCCTCATGCTAACAAAACTGCCTACAGGAGAAATTAAACCAACAACAAGCTTCAGATGGCCTATAATTGAGCTGAAAATAAGGCATATGATGTGGGCTTGCAATGGTCACTGTTTCAAAATAGAAGCCCGCTCTCTCCTGCTCAGTCTTCAATTGTACTTTTTAAAAATATAATGAAGTAGATTCATGCATTATCAATCTGTAAAATAACACAATAGAGATGGCCTGGATTCACTAGGAAGATGCTTATGCAAGGATGTTCTAGGTTACATAAAGTGCTTATTAGCACGATGCTTGATACAGCTGAAGTGCTCAATAAATAATGGCAATTATTACCTCTCCGTCAGCTGTAATTAGTGTCTAAACCACAAAACATTCGCATCGACTGTGGGCTTCTGATGGCCCTCTCTGCTTCTTATATATAGTCTTTTCTCCCAGCAGGCAGGGCTAAGGTATTACATTCCTACTACACCCCTTTGACACTTAGCAGTGGTTCCTCGATGCAAACGGTTTGCTCTTGGCTACTAACCAAAAGGTTTGCAGTTTGAACCCACCCAGCAGCACTATGGAAGAAAGGCCTGGCAATCTGCTTCTGTAAAGATTATGGCCAAGAAAACCCTACGGAATTCAGTTCTACTCTGTAACACATGGGGTCAGCATGAGTTGGAATTGACTCAATGGCAACAGGTTTTGTTCTGTTTTTGATGCTTAGCAGAGGTAAGCACCCAGAAGGTGTGGAAGAAATGCTTGTTGATTAAGGCACAACGGATTAACGGATGGAGGAGCCATCAGTCATAGTCATGGCTACCACCAACACCTCCCCCACTTCCACTAACATCTGAACTCTGAGAGAGCTCGGTTCAAAGTCCTTCTGTCCTGGACTCTGGTCTGGCCTGGTCAGGCAAGGTTCATTAGCCTCCAGGGCTTTTCCTCACCAAGGGACAGAAGAGCTGCCATATTGTACTCTATTCCAAAACCGTCGATATCCAGGGAGCTGCTTATGTAGGGAGTTCTCCCTTGCTGCATGTTTATTTGGAAAAGAACAGAAACAAACCAACAAAACAATGACCTTTTGCTAAATGGTATAAAGATGGAAAATAAAATCAAATTTGAGTATCTAATGGGTTTAGGAGGAGAGTGAGATAGTCACGGGGAGAGAGCACACCCTCATTGTGGAAATTACACAGCCGTATGTGAATGGAAATTCCATCCAACAATCTGGAAAAGATGACTTGAGATCCCAGCTGTGTTTCTCTGGGCGGGTGAAAAGGAGCAGTGCTCTCAATACAGACATGGCCAGTCAAGTCTCTCTCAAACACACACACACACACGCACACACTCCTTCCCATGCACAGTTAGCTGTCTCCCTCAGTAGCTATGCTTGATTGGTTTAACACAAAAAGTAATGATTCTCCATGGCTTGCAGGGCATCCTGCACACTGCTGCACGCAAATGTGCACACACAAAAGGATACATCTTTCCTCCTGGCCCCACTACACAAACACGCACCACACAAATCCTTGAATATAATTAGAGACATCCTCCGGACAAAAACAGGCAAACCCAAACACAGGCCCCAAACAGGATATCTTACACACAAACATGCACTCTTCCGCCCTTTGTGCACATATCAAGGATAAGCCAACATGCATCAGATAACTCAGTTACATGCCTCCCAGTGTATGCCACACCCAAGAACATTCAGCATTCATTCATCTGTTTTTCTGACCGTCTCTCCACTGTGCCTTGGCCCTCACAGTATCCCAGCATCTACAACTCCTTAAAGGGGCAGTTGTTTGTGGTGGCATTCATCTTACCTGAACCACAACCACTTGGATGGAAACATGGTCTGGCAGTCGGATTGGTGCCCGGAAATACTGGGACAGAGCAACTAGCAGATGCAAGATGGCTACCAGGCTCTTGGCATGAACAGCTGAAATAAAAGATGATTTTAAAATTTAGAGAATCTTCTTCCAGGTTCTTGGCAATACAAGCAATATTCAAAATGTAGCAGTCCCACACCTGAAGTCCCTTTTAGCCCACCCTCAAGGTTCAATGTCCTTGGTCATCATGGGCCTCATGCTGGGCCCCCTCAGTTCTTGGACAGATTCCATGGAGTTCCTCCTAGGATCATATTGTTGGATTTCCAGTGTAGCACCTCTTCACTCTAATCCAAGTTGCCAATTGGACCCTGATGACAGTGAGTCCTTGGCTCAAATCAGCCCTCATCAAGCCCCATGTCCCTTTTCATGCCATTCTATTAACCATGAACACATGTGCTCTGTACCCCTTCTCCCTTCCCACCTGACAGAGAACGCTGGATTGTTACCATTACCCTGTTCCAAGGGTCACTTCCTTGTTTAGGACTTTAAAATCCCTGGAATAAGGCATTAGAATCATTCAAAGGGTCTTGTTGTTCTTGGGTGCCATGTATGGTCAGTGTAGATGATGCCCCTTGGGGAACAGTTGGGAGGGAATGTTCATAACCTAGTTGGCTTTCACAGCTGCTGAGATATGGCTGGATGTTAATTCACTTACATTAGGAAAGGCTGGGCCCACTGGGCTGTGGTTCTCTCAGTAGGTAAGAAAAAGATGATGACCTAATGGGGACACACAGGCAGTGGGGTCAGCTGGAGCTTGAGTTCTGACTTAACAACTGTACTACTGACTGGCTAAAGGACCTTGAATAGGCCACTCAAGGCCTCTGAGCCTTGATTTGAGCTCATTTTCACAAATTGGGGTAACGGTATTAATGCAAAAGTATAGGATGTAAGGATTTCCAGAGATAATTTAGGCAAAGCTCTTGGAACATAGCAGGTACCCAGCAATGGTTGATATTTTTTTAATTATAACTTATGTGAAAATACTTGGCACCTAGGCCATTAAAACATGTTAGCTTTTTCCCCTTGGTTTTTCATAAAAGAGAAAATCAAGCGGGTATTTTATCCTGCCAGCTCTCAGAGTTCCTCATTACAGGGGACATTTACAAAAAAAAAAAACCCATTCTGTATCCTTAGCATGCACTGGGTCCATTATTAGGGTGTCCTTCTGTCTATCCTGGGATTGATGAATCTGCCCTAGCAGAAGCTTTGAGAAACCTCCAAGAAAAAGGAATGATTCAGACATTCCTTGGGAACTCATTAGGGGTTTCTTGTTATCATTGCTGCTTCAGAGAAGGTTTTCTACTTGCTATGAACAGCAGTTCTTCACCACTGCCAAACAGTTGATGAACTGTTCCGAATTCTTAGCCTTCCAGAAGAAGTTATTTTTCAGTTCTGGGCTTTCAGGCATTGCCGACTAAGTTTTACACACAGTTACAGCCCCCAAAAAGGCTCTTGGTATGGGACTGACCCATTGACATGGTGTGGTCACTGACTGACAAAGGCAAAGCCCAGGCTTGCTCTTGTGATCAGAACTGCCACACTGCCACCAGTCCGATCACTGGTCATTTGTTACCCAATCATTTGCTAACCTTTTCCCTTTACTGACACTCCTTCCCAGCTATTCCTCAAGGGGCATTAGCTACATAATGCTGGAAAAGTTGGGATCAAGCAGGTTGTTTTGTTTCGATCAAAGATTCTATAGAAGAATCCTGATCAAAAAGGGAAAAATACAAACAGAATTTCAAACTCTCATGGAACCCAAACTTTCTGGAGCCATTGTAGCTGGATGAACCCCCGAAACTATTGACCTGAGAAAATCTTTAAACCTTAAACCAAAAATATCCCCTGAAATCTTCTTTAAACCAAACAATAGTTTAGCTTAATTATAAAGAATGTTTGCCTTGAGTGTTGTGCTCTTTTAAAGATCTATATGGGATCAAATGGACAACAACTTGGAAGGTTAGATAGGAAGCTTAGGGAACAGTGATTTTCTATCACTGGAGGAGGAACAATTCAGAAGAGGAGGGTGAGAATGGTTCCAGAACTTGAAGAATGTAATCAATGTCTCTGAACTGTACATGTAAATATTGTTGAATTGTTGTATGTTCTGCAGTGTATATTTTCAACAACAACAACAAAATAAAATAAACTATTTTTAAAAGTAAGTTGTTCTTCTTACATCTTGGTGACATTGTACATAATCTTGACTGTCTCGGTCAGCAACACAGAGCTATACAACAAGCACCATACAGATGACCATACCCTTTCATTGAGTACACTGTCCTCCTGGGAATTTTTTCCCACAGTCTCACAACACACTGTGATGGTTTAATTTTATGCGTCAACTTGGTTAGGCTATGGTACCCAGTTGTATGGTTAAACACTAGTCTAACACGTTCCTTCGAAGGTATTTTGTAGATGTGATTAACGTTTACAATTGGTTGACTTTAAGTACAGGAGATTACCCTCAAAAATGTGGGTGGGTCTCATTTAATCAGTTGAAGGCCAGAGCAAAAACTGAGGTTTCCTGGAGAAGAAGGAGTTCTGCCTTCAAGACTGTAACAGAAATCCTACCTGAGTTTTCAGCCTGCCCTATGGATTTCAGACTTGGCAGCCCTCAAAACCAAGTATACTGATTCCTTAAAATTAATCAATCACTCACTCAGTCAATCAATCTCTACCTCTCTCTCTATATTATCTTTACATACATATACATATAGATATGTGTACCTCCATATACATATTTGTATTTTTCCACTCTATCATAACTACTTTAATTTTTTTTATATTCCTTTCTAAGTCTTGGCCACAAGTACACAAATATACATATCCTATTGATTCTGTTTCTCTGGAGAATCCTGACTGATACACACACACACACACACACACACACACACACAATGAGCACAAAGATATTAAATATTATGTAATCTACAACTGCTTAAAACAGCTGGAAAAAATTATGTCCTATAGCAAGAACATGGTTTAATCCAATGGTTTTCACTTTTTTTTTTTATTAAGCAGAGAAACTCTTTGTTCTAAAATCCTATAGGTAAAACTGATGAAAAAAGTACAACTGTTCTGGTTCAAATGATAATGCCCAGAGTTCTAACTGTGGCCCACCCACAGTTTCTTGCTCTCCCCCACACCCAGTGACACCTGAGATTCTCCTTGTAAATCTCTAGGTTGGCAAAGCACAGTTTAATAACAACTGCTTTACTAAATTATGGTACATTTATGTAATGGAATAGTTTGCATGTGTTGAAAATCATTGTTAAGATGATGTAGCTATAAATATTAATAATGCAACGTTATAGAGAAACTGGATAGAAACTGTAAAATAAATACATTTGTGGATACACGTGACATATATGCATATTTATACACACACTCACACACGAAAGCATGTACTTGTGGCCAAGTCTTGGACAGAAAGATATATATTAAAAAAATGAAAATAGTTATGGTTGCTTGTAAAGATGGTTTTAATATTTTTCCTGCTTCAGAATTTTCTTTAGGATAAAGATATGTCATCTTTTCAATTAAAAACATTCTAAACAACCTTTGCATATTGGCCACCCACATCATTGCTGTCCCTCAATACCTCTCCTGGAAGTTTTAGTCCTTGATACTCGGCAGAATGTAAGAACACTGTGTGCCTGCACTCAGGTCAGGATGGAAGGGTTCAGAAAATGCGCAAAGGCCAAGACTTCACTGAATAAACTGAGAACAGCAGCAGCTGTGCCAACAGTGTCACTCTAGGGCTGGGAAACTATGTTAAAAGAAGCTGCTGAGTTAGAAATAGGCCTCCAAACCAGTCCTGGGGTGGAAATATAAACTCGCATAATTTTTCTGGAGGCAATTTGACAATATCTATTATAAATTAAATATCTATTAAAAATGTACATATCCTTTGGCCCTAAAATACCATTTCTAGGTATTTATCTTAAAGAAGTAACTATGGCTGTGAGCAGAGAGACATTATCGGGCTATGCTGATATTAGTGAAAAAATTGAAAACAATCTAAAAATCCATCCATGGTGAAATAAACTATAATACATCCGTATAATGTCATATTATGTAACACTAAAGGTGCCATATAGAACAATATGTAATGATTTATAAAGACATACATCTTCCAAACAACATATATAGGCTGATTTAATCTTTGTGAAAATTATATATATTTTATAGTTATGTATATATACATTCATTCATTCATTTATTACACACACACGTGACTTGAAGGAACACACCACACTGTTGATGGTGTCTCTCTCTGGGGGCAGCTTCTGGGGCAGGATGGGTAGTGGTTAGTGCACAGACTCTGCAGCCAGACTCTCTGGGTCTGATTCCTGGCTCCATCATTTACCACGTGTGTGATCTTGGACAATGAGACTCCTTTAGCAAATATTTCTGTGCTTATTATGTCCCAGTCACTCTTCTAGGTTCCAGGGATACAGCAGTGACAAGACAAAAATCCCTGCCTTCGTGAAACTTACGGTCATAGTTTCTTACCTTTCTATGCCTTGATCTTCTCATTTATAAAATGGGTTAATAAAAGTTTTACCTCAGATGGATGAGTGAGGATTACAAAAATTAAAATATGTAAAGTGTTTCGAACAGTATAAAGCACATGGTAAACACCATAAATGTGTGAGATATTAATATTTACATTTCTTTTCATTTAATTGTATTTTCTTAGTCTTCAACTGTTACTGTTGTAAATAAAAGAAAGAAAAGAAAGGAAAGGAGCCCCCTAAAGCCCTGGATCAAGGACCTTGGAAGCTCAGCAGCCTGTCCCTTCCACTTTTATCCTGGGCGGAAAGATGACACAATGTCCCAAGATACGGCAGGGAAGATGACTGAGAGAGAACGGGAATATTTTCCCTGAGGAGTTGTGCCTGTCACTCTCCTTCTGGAACAAACCACTGACGCTTGTAAATAGGTCCAGCACATCTCAAAGCCCCAAGGCATCTCAGGGAGCTGGCCGCTGAGATAATTATTTCCTCTAATTTAGTACCCAATTGCCATCAAGTCGATTCCGACTCATAGCAACCCTATAGGACAGAGTAGAACTGCCCCATAGGGTTTCCTCCTTGATACTATAGTCAGCAGCCACAGCTCTTAACTGCTATGACACCAGGGCTCGTTATGAGTCAGAACCAACTTGATGGCAATGGGTTTGGTTTTCTAACCTAGTAATTCACCTCATTTCTGTAAACCTATCTGAGGGGGATAATTCAAGAGTAGCAAAACGATAAACAGTCTAAGACGTTGGTGCTATCTGGTATTAGCAATAAGTTGGAAAGATCCTAAAAGAATCAATATCAGCTTAGGGTTGAAGGTAATTATCCACCTTATGAGCTAGAAGCATACATTAAAAATTACAATTATGAAGACCACATGGGAGTTTAGAACATACGTATGATACAATATTAAGAGAAAATAACATAACAAAATGCAATAGTGTATAGCCCTTCTCCAAACAAAAATATGCATTTACATGTACCCTTAAAAAAAAATCCGTTGCCATCGAGGCAATTCCAACTCATAGCGACCTTATAGGACAGAGTAGAACTGCCCCATAGGGTTTCCAAGGAGCGGCTGGTGGATCTGAACTGCCGACCCTTTGGTTAGCAGCCTGAGCTCTTAAACACTGCGCCTCCAGGGCCCCATTCACATGTATAGTAATGGGCAAAAAAATGAAAATAGCTAGGTCAGAACGGAAATATGAGTGATTATTTTACCCATACACATTTCCCTATAAGAAATTAAAATAAAAATGAACCAAGCAAATCATTCAAAGCCACTGAAGACAATATTCCTAATGTGGCTTTTAAAAATTCCATTCTCCTGTCTTAGCCTTCCCCAAACTGTGTTCTATGATTGTCACAAAGCATTTTACTTTGCTGCAGGAAGATGGTCCATATTCACAGGAGTGGGAAATAGGATCAAACAAAACTAGGCAGGTTCTTCATTAGAAGACTTCTCTAATGCTTCTGACTATTGTGGATTTCCAAAAGGTGGATATGGTGTGCTGTGTTTCTCAAACTAGTGATCAAGCCCCTTTTCTCCCCCATCAAACACTATTAGGGTTCCTGGGAACACAGGGAACCAGAGCCCCACCCCAAGACAGCCTCTAGGGCCCAGAGCTGTGGCTTCCCCTCCTCCCACTCTCAGGTGACCCCCATGCTCGCAGAGAATGCCCCGTTCCAAGAGATGTGCGCTGTGCCCGCTGGCTTATCAAACTGTGCGAGCAAAGTTGTAATTACGCTGAAGGAGGCGCTTGGTGTCTCGGCCCCAGTGTCAGATGTCAGAAACCTGCTGAAGGGATTGTGCCTGGCAGCTACGGGGTCTCTTAGTTTAGAGGTGAAGATTCCTTTTTGCCTCCCAAGTATGAAAGGTACGTTTTTGGGACAAGGGATCCATTTTAAGTTTTCTTATTGATACTGATGTTGACTCATTAAGTCCATGTTAGACCCCAGGCCCTGGAGTTTCCTGGTGGTGCAAAAGGCTGCTAAATAAAAGGTTATCAGTTACAGTCCACCCAGAGGTGCATTGCAAGAAAGGCCTGGCAATCTACTTCTGAAAAATCAGCCACTGAAAATCCTATGGAGCACAGTTCTTCTCTGACACACATGGGGTCACTGTGAGTTGGAGGAGACTCGATGGCAACTGGTTTTCCCTTGAGGTAGCTTATACTTTCTGAGATCCTTGAACTGTAGTAGCTATGAATTGCTGACTTTTAAAATCCTGTCCCAGTGCTTACAATCTCAGCCATATCTTTGCTCCTTCTGGAAAATGAGGTGGTGAGAGGAAGGGCATGGGCTTTGGAACAAAGTCAAGTCCTCCCTCTACTGCTTCTTAATAGTTGCATGAATATGGGAGCCTCAGCTTCTGGAAACCTCAGGCTTCCTCTCTACAAGCTAGAGACAACAGCTTTCTCAAAAGGTTGTATGGGACATGGAAGAGGCTCAATGAATATTGGTTTCTTTCCCCTCCCTACCTCACGTGGGGTCACCATGAGTCTGAAAAGACTCAACGGTGACTAACCACCACCACCACCATCTCACATGAGGTTTCTACAGAAAGCCTTTTACAGAAACAGGACTTTGGATTTTGACACTTTGTTATTTTCCCAAAGGTCGGATATGTTTTCTTTCTAAGGAAGGGTACATTTCACTCAGTGATAAATGCATTTGCACCTACTCAGGACCTACCAGCTTGCTGGATGCCTACTTGGGGCAACAACATGGTACTTGCCGAAGTGTTACTAAATAGTCATATTTTCTCTTGTAAAACTCACAGTCCACATTCCACTTGATGCTCCTGGGAGGCAGTTTCAGAGTTTCATTGATCTTCTCCAGAACAGTTTGCAGTTTTTGCTTCTGAGCAATCTCCGACTGGGTGACCTCAGCAACGTTCAGCTTCTCGCTCTCAAGTTTCTCTGGAATGTCAAGGGAAAAGAGAACAGCTCTTGTCTCCAGTAACAGACAACCCTAACTCATTCACTCACTCATGCACTAACTCGCTCACTCATTCAACAACTATATTGTGGGCACCTACAACATGGTGGAGAGTGCTTTTCCCTCCTGTCTGATGGTAGCACCAGTGGCACCAGTGTCGTGGAAGCCTGTGATCATGTCTGGAATCCCCAAATTATAAGACCCCAGGTCTACGGAAGTGGGGCATTTAATCTAGCCTTATCTGTCCTATTTGAACTCTTTTTCCATCACTCTGACCCCTCACTCCCTTCTTTTCAATTCTGAGTTCTCTAAGGAGGTCTCTCTGCCCCCACTGAGAAGTCTTCCCTGTTTTTCCAAAGCAGTTAGTCATGTCCTTATCCAAGGCATCTTGTACATTTCCTTTAGTAAAACACGTGCCCTGCTGAATCATATTCGTCTGTTCTTAAATACCTTCTTTCCTTTTAAACCCACTTGGAAGGTCACTTATTTAATGTGTCATATGTCATCAATTCTAAGGCACACATTTTTTCACATATTATCATCCTTGAAATCAGGCTATGTCTTCAAACTGATGGCATCTTACAGCTGCTGTGGGCCAGGTGGAAGATGTAACAGTTATTTATCACTGTCTCCACTCTCAAAAACTTGGGCATAGCTCTTCATAGTGCATGTCTAAATATGTCTAAGAAAGTACTTTTGAAGAGTATGAAATAAAAATTCTAAGCCATAAGAAAACATGGGTAATAGTTTAACTGAAGTGTTTTTTCTTTCTTAAAATAATGACGTGTTGTAAAATCAATAGTCTTAGATGCAATGATACAACCCTTTAATTCTTAATACAAAGGCAAAACAGTCTAATTATTTTATTAATCTAAATTAATATTTTTATCCAGTAAAGAGGACAATTTTGCACTCTCTAGTGGGAAATACATTGTCTATTAGATTAACCTAACCAGCTCTTCACAACTCATTCAGAATCGATAGAACTGACACTCTGAAACATGTTTAAAATGTCTTTCCTCCTCATTTTTCAGGGCCGCCATATAATTTAAACTTTACTATACATCAACGGTTCCCCTATTACTTATCTTACTTACTTTATTTTAAAGTAGTTCTAGCTTACCCAAGTAAACGCCCCTTGGATAATTTTTTCAAGATGAGGTTGCCCACTGGGGAATTTCTGCAGGTTCTGTGGATTTATGAATTCTGTTCAGCACTTTGTTGAATGATCTTAAGTTATTCTTATCTGTATGGTCTGAAATGTTATCTCTTCTCTTTGGTTGCTTGAAGTCATCATTCTTTATTTCTAAATTTTAGAGATTTAATAAGCATATATTTAAATGTCTTCCTCCTAAATACTAAACTTTGAAGAGATTCTGTGTGCTTTTACCATCTTTAGGGTGAATTCTTATCTTAGATCTTCTACTAAAGGAATGCCAGATTGTTTTCATCTTATATTGCAACTATACACATTTGGTAGCAGCTGCCCAAAGTGCTAAGTTAAGAAAACTTCTGAAGCCTTGGCTCAGAGGAAAAGACTGTTGGGATAGATTAATGATGCCTGTCTTGGGAGTGGGCTGGGTAGGCAGGGAGGGAGGAGTGGCAGCATGGGAGCCACTTATTTGCCAGTCTAGTTGTATTACATCATTGTCTATCAGTTTTCATATTTATAACCTTCTGCAGGCAATGGACTTCTTAGAGTATACAACTTAAGTCTCTGAGTTTGTTTTCTAAGTCAACAACTTTTTCTTGTATTGTCCATTCTTTTTTTAATTGTATTTTATTATCTACTTGAACATTCATTGTTTTCTGTTACCAATTTTTTAACTAGTTTATGATACTAAACTTACACTGCATTCTTCCCAAAGTTAAAAGAAAATTCTTCTGTTTTTTAGCATCTGGTATTGCTTATTTAGGAGCCCTGGTGGTGCAGTGGTTAAAGCGCTTGACTGCTAACCAAAAGGTCAGCTGTTCAAACCCACCACCTGCTCCACGGGAGAAAGATGTGGGAACATCGACTAGCTTGGATAGGAAGTTTGAGGACATGTCACAAATCAACACTACTCCTTTGACATCGGGTATAAAATCAAATTCCACTCCATGCACAGTCTCGTTTGTGCTGTAATATACATAAGAGATGTCCGGGTTGAGGTTCCAGGTGCTTGGATCTGGAATTCTTGTATAGCTCCCAAGTTCGGGGTGGACGACATTTACAGTCCCAAACTTCCTGGCTTCTTCTGCGGCCTTAGCTGACCAAGCTCCTGTCACCACATAGTCAGCACATCTTCCGGCTTTCAGGCCATTCAAGTTTAAGGGGACAGCACTGAACGGGCCAGACCTACCTCCTTGCACAAAAATCACCTTGTAGTTGTCTGGAACAGCTAATGATTCTTCCACAAAATTCTCTGTGGTGTTGATAATTTTAGCAAAATCTGACGACCTGTGGCTCATTTCAAGAACACTAATCTCAACTCCTTTGAAGTCCAATAATTTCTTTTGTATCTCCAACAGCACTCATTGCAGCAGCTTGGCGGCCCAGCCCGAAGTTGACCACCTGCTTCGGGGCATCCATGGTGCAGCAGCCCAGCGGCTAGTCAGCTAGGAGGACTGATCGTGTGGGCAGTGCACATACTCTGTGGGCCGCAGCATCAGTCTGTGGCTCGACTCTGACCTGCGGTTTGCTCTTTTGTTCTTTATTAGGCTAATCTGAGTTAGCTTTTTGAAAATTTTCTATTGCTGAAATTTTATTCTTCCATGAAATTGTTACTCATGTATCCATAGTTCTGAAAATTGTTCATCATTATTTTAACTTGTTACAACATATTAGACATGGTTTTGAAGTAGGATGTTATTTAGAAAATTTCCTAAGGTGGATTATTTTGTTAATCTTTCAGTTAATTTTGAAGCTACCATCTAATATGTTTTTGGAGAGATTATTTTTGGAAAACAATGAAACAGTATTCAAAAAGTTCTGAAGTATGAAGTCAGGGTTGAATAAACTTAATTACCCTAAATGGTAGAAGAACTCAGATGCTCTAACACAACTGCCATATATACCATATTATATTAACGTAACCACCCATCAAATAGTTAAAATACATAAAATATTCTTTCCAGTATGAATGATTCCTGTTATTAAAACCATATTTTTAAGTTTCCAAATATATGGGAAAGGTTAGTTAATTTATTGCTTTTTTTTTTTTGAACAGAATGTAGTCTATTGATAATTTGTTGAGGCTTGCTTTATGTTGTTGTTGTTTGGTGCTGTTGAGTGGGTTCCGACTAATAGCGACTCTGTACCACAGAACGAAATACTGTCCAGTCCTGCGCCATGGACACAATCGTTATGTTTGAGCCCATTGTTGCAGCCACTGTGTCAATCCATCTCGTTGAGGGTCTTCCTTTTCTTCGTTGACCCTGTACTTTACCAAG